CCAGATTGGAGTTAGGAGCCTAGGACTGCTAAATACAGATTAAAGATAGTGGAGATTTTAAAAAGGAGAGTTTTTGTTTCTAACTTTGCATTATGGAAATTTTCAAAACCTGTGTATGAATTTGAAGAATGGTAGAGTGGATTCCCACTTCCAAAGGAACCAAGTCACGGTGGTCCTCCTCGATCATCTCCACCACTACTTTTTCTGGAGTATTTTAAGGAGACTTCAGACTTGTCAAACTCCTAAATTCTCCAGCTTGAATTTCTGATGAGGACTCCTTTTTTGATATTACCACTGTGCCATTATCAAACTGACAACTCAAGAATAATTCCTTGATATCATCCATTCTGTTCTCACGTCCCACTTTCCTCAAGGGGACCCTATTTGTCTGTTCTAGTCTTGAGCCACGGCAGTTGGTTGTTACGTCTCTCAAACCTCTTGTCTTGAGTATGGTGCAGGACGGAGAGCTTTTGAAGCCTTTCCTGAGGAGAATAAGTTGCCCAGAAAACTGAAGTTTTTTGTAGAAGAGAATTAAAAGAGAGGGTATTCATGCTGAGGCCTGACTTAAAATGGTGAGACCAGGTCAGAAAGGTAAGGAACATTCCGACCTCATTCCCATTGGCTTGTTCAATGGAAGGGGCAACCTGCAGGGACACAGCCTTTCTGCAGCTCCCCTACCCAGAGGCAGGGGCGCAGCCTTTCCTGGGAGAACAGAAGACCCAGGATCTGGCCAGCAGAAGGGAGAAGTGGAGGCACCACGTGCCAAGAGACTCAGTTAAAGGAGGTGGAGAAGTGGAACCAACAGTGACAGACCTGGGCAGGAGAGGAAGTGGGTGCTCAGGTGTGCTTGGTGTTCAGTGAGGACTGGGGCTGGTGAAACAGCACAGATGGAGCTTTGAAAAGTAGTAGTCTGTTTGCAATTTCTAGAGCAGATCTGAAACTTAGAGAAACATCAGCTGGGGTGCCTCTTCTGTAAAGCCAGTTCTCCTTTCTTAAGCCTTAGAGGAAGGCTGCTGCTTTCTCCCACTGCTCTGTGGGTGTCGGCTGACCTGGTACCCCTTGCTGGAGCTTTTCAGAGGCATTCACATCTGCTTAAACAATACCCAACTCAGCCGCAGCTTTCTATCTTCTTGCATCCCTTTCCAACATTTTTCCCAGACACCAAATATGTTTGTAGGAGGCTGGTCAGGGTTGCCCAGGCTCTCTGGTTTCACCAGTGAACCACAACATAAGGTGGGCACTCTCTGTTTGCAGAGAAGGGAGGGGAGGGAGAAGACAGACCTCAATTCTGCACACACACTCTACACTTCCAATGTAATCAAAACTGTTGGTGCTGCATTCCTTCTGGGAACAAATTTTGCCATAGAATTACCTCTCTCTGACTCTCAAATTTTAGATGATAACACCAGCATTAAGAGAGCCTCTTTGCAACCAAAGAAGCCTCCCTCTCAGGATTCAGGCTTTTGTGTGGGGCATATCAACAGGGCCCTCACAGCAATTGTGTCACCTCCCTCCACTTCTCCCTTCTGCTGGCCGGAGCCTGAGTCTCCCTGCCCTCCACACCCTGTTCTCCCAGGTGTGACACCTGGGAATGGTACCACCCCATGTTATAGTTGGGCTTCTGGTTGGTGCCGCTGCAGGGCAGTGAGCAAGTAGGATTCTCACTAATGCAGTCCCCTTGCCTTCATGTGGGCTTTCCAGCCCTAGGGTTTGGATATTTCTGTCCTGACAAGGGTGCCAAATCAGGAAAGGGGCAAAAAGAGATCTCTTCCCTCCCAGAATCTGGTTATCTCACCTCACCAAACTCTCCAAGCGAAGTCCCAGAGACCTCTGCAAAGGTCAGGTGCAAAGGTGAATCTCAGGTGTTAGTGAGGTTCTGGGAAATGTTCTGTAGTCTGGGTAAAACCACCTAAGGTAAGATTTAGTGGTTGATGGGAGGTGAGGGGCAGGGCGGGGGACGGTGGATATTAACATAAAAACACAGAGAAAAAATGCTAGTGGTTCATGCTATGGAGAAATAGGGCTCAGAAACAATTGTGTCAAAATAGCTGGATGCTATTTTATACTGGGTCAAGGAAGGCCTCCCTGAGGGGTGACATTTGAGTAATGAGCTGAACAAATGAAGGAGCATAGGCACTGAAACCTTGACTTCTTGAGCCAGAATATGTGTGTGATGGGAACCATAGGGACAGAGGAGGGGGCGAGGAAAGAGAGGAAGGGTTGCAGAAGGACCCAGGTGGTATAGACCTGGGAGGTTTTGGTGAGCTAGTTGGGTTCTATCAGGCGTGCCAAGAAGTTGCTGGGAGGCTTTGATACATGGCATTAGACACGTCCACTTTTCTTTGTATATCAATTCAGCATCAACCAGTTACCTCCTGCCCTCCTCTGTATTTCCCTTCCGGGTGTGACCTAGACCCAGGGCTGGGCTTGCAGGTGTGTCAAACTTGGTGAAAGGTGGTTGGTGGTTAAGGAAAGAACTGGGAGCTGGGTATGACAATGGTACCCTTAATCTCATCCTTTCCTCTTCTCTTCCCTGTCTTCCTCTTTCCTCCTACATTCTTTGACCCAAACCACTGTTTGGAGGATGAATTGCTCCCTTCCCTGTCAATTGCTCCACCAAACTCTGCTGACTTCCAGGCAGAGGGAGTCACTGTAACATGGCACCATGATACCCACAATGTCATGAATGGGTTGATCTGGAGTAAGCAGGTCCCAGTTCCTTCATCCCACTTTGTCTCTTGAGCAATTCAGGGAAACGATTTAACCCTATCACTACTAGGCACCCACTGTTGTATGTTCTGGGTGGGGGAGAGGGGGAGAAGAGGGCATTGACGAAAACATGAATTCCCTCTGCGCCAATGGCAATTCCTGCAGAGCTGACCAGGATAGGTACTGTATGTGGGTGGGGAGCTTGCATGTGTGTGTCTGGGGCAATGGGTGGGGAGAGGGAGGGTCTTGTTTCTTGAAAGTTGTCTTAGAGGTCTTAGAGGAGGTCACATTT